AGAAAGAAGGTCAGAGGACAAATAAGGAAAAGTAAGCTCTACCACAGTATTTTGTCATCAGCCAGAATGATTTTACATATAATTATAGCCAATTCATGGAGCTGTGAGGCTGTAAATGAAATCAGATCCTGGTTTCATATCACCAGCACCTACTACCAACGTTAAGTCCAGCTTCTCGGCTATCATCTGATAGGCACTTTGGAGCTAAGATGAAGTGAAGATGGTGCTGGACCCATGGAATGCCCCACCCCACTCCAGTTCCTGATTTTCTCTTTATTTGGTAGAAGGCTTAAGAATTTAGGCAAGTCTTACTTGTAAATTAATTGCTTTGGAGAAAGAAGAAGTTTGTGGATAATTCCTTCCTGGCCCCAGAACTACAGAAGGCAGTTTAGACTCCTAGCATTTTTCTGGCTCACACAGCATTTGACCTTTTTTTTTTTTTTTAAAGTTAACCAACTCTACTGAATCTCTGTTTTATACAGGCCAGGTCCTAACCTTCTTCAAAGCACTGATCATATTTTCAAGGACTATTTTCACACTATCCTTAGCTGTGTGTTATGATATAACCTCCTTACATGATTATAAACTCCATAAGGAAGGACTACCTGTAAATGCTCAATGGTACCAGCAACTTTTACAATAAAGATATAAGTAGCAGCTAATTCTCAAGGAGGGCTTAATATATGCAAAGCTCCTTCTATGCATATAATTTAATCCTAACAATCCTGTAAGTCAGGTGTACTTTTATCATCTCTTTTTTTCCACAGATGAGAAACATGAGGCTCAAAGAGGTTAAATTAAGGACCTTGTCCAAGGTTACACAGTAAGTTAAGTGTTGATAACTACCTTTTATTCAACACCCACCATTTTGGGGGTCCAGTCCTGTGAGGTGCTTTAAGTATATTTTCTTCAACTTTCACAACAACCTTGCACAGTATGATTATTCCTACTCTATTGATAAATGAAACGAAGGTCGGGGAAGGCTAAATTGCTATCCAGCCTTGAGGAAGTAGCAGAGCTGGTCTTCAATCTTCCTTCTGTCTGATTCTGAAGCCAGTGTTGTTCCCAATGTACTAACAGTGCCCAGGCTTCTGGATTTCATGGAGCAGAAATATTTCCAAACCAACTGGGGGAGGAGGGAGACTTACATAAAGTTACCAATTGTACATTTTGCCATGTATGGATATTGAAAAAAAACACAACAGACAAATCTACAATACCATCTACTTTTACTACCATGGTGAGAAAACAAGGAGATGTTAACACCAAAAACTAGAAAGGACCACGTAACAGTCCATAAACCAGAAAATTTCTACTGACATCAACACTGTCTTGTCCTTACTTTTCGCACATTACCAGGTACCAGTGAAAACTGTGATGGACAGTTTGACATCCACTTCACCTCCACTGGAACCGCGAGGGGCTATCACTAAAATCTGTTCAGTTAGCCTCTCCACACCGACATTTATTCGGGTTTGTTATAAGGTGATTACTGTATCTATCTATCCATATATTTCTCTTTCTACCTATCTTTTCCCCAAAAATACAAAGTAGAGAAAAGTTACAGATTTTTAAAATTATTTCTATAGAACTTCTACCAAGACAATAAATACCTTTTAATACTGAATCCCTTTGTTAAAGAGATTTTCCTTTTAATTCTCTTTAAAACAGCAAAGCTGCTGCCTGTGAAAACCCAAGCTTCATGAAAAGCCAATCCTACAAATAATTTCAGTACTACCTGAAATTTCACACGAGGCCTTCAATAGCACATACCTTTTCTTACTTGGTGAGGCAATTGTAATTCCCATCTCAAAGAAGCACTGTGAATAGAAGTTAATGTTTTCCAGCAATTTTAAACTCTCTGGCTGTAGGACTTTGGTTTATGAATTGCAAACTAACTGATTCAATAGCACAGAATCTTCATTTTAATTTCACATTTATTCTTGCCAGGAGAGAAATACTTTTGCAGGAAAGAGCAATAACATCTTATGCCTAACCTCCATGAATTTAATTGTTTGGAAGGCATTTTCATAGGACTTATCTTTCTGGCAACTCCTGGTGTTCTTTGGAAAGCTTCACAAGTGCAGAAAGGCATAAATTTACTCAGTAAAGTGCCATAAACTCTCAACTACCTGACACAGTAAGGAAATGTGGTATTCAAATATTCACATTAAAAAAGGCACCCCACATCAATTATGCCTCAAAAAAAGGATTAAAAAGTCACTCTATTGACGATTTATGGACAAAAATTTTTCTAAGAATTACAACATCATAAAGTATACCTAATAAACCACAGTGAACACTGTTTAATCTTTCTGATGATTAAGAAGGGTTTTGAGGATTTGCACTATAAACAGGATTTGTCTTGGCGCTATAGCAGCATGCCAATTAATGGGGAATTCTAGCTGAAGACATGCCAGGTGACAGCTGACTGAATTATTTCTACTAAAGGAGAATTCCGCTTTTAAACAACTGGCGTTGGGGCCAGAAAGCTCAGCACATTTGAATCCTAGCTTTTCCATTTCCCAGCTGTGGGGTCTGGGTCACATTATTTAAGCCCTCAAAGATTCCTCTCCTCGGTATAAAAACCTCCTCTGCTGGAATGCTGGATTCTCCTTCCAACTCCATCCGTGACTCGGGATGCAAAGTTCCACCTGGCCTCGATACCTTTTTTGTAAGGAAGGGAGGGAACCACCAAAACAAACTGACAATATGAGGTTATTAGGACTGACAGGTTGCTGTCTGATATATCTTAAATCCAGAGGCTAACTGCCATAGAATTGTTTAAAATATTTGGGAAGAGGAATATCAGGGGAGGGGGAAGATGTAGGGAATAGAAAGAGAATTAAAAAGAAGGCTTCATAACATAGAAACTACCTCCTTCTTTCCTTTCTATCAAAAGAAATGGCCTTCCTGAAAATACAGAGGTTTGGAGCGCCCCCGTCAGGTGGATCACCTGAATCTCATCCTTAGTAGTGGTTGTAGTTCCAGGAGAAATACTCATAGACTCCACGGTTTGAAAAAATACATAGGATTTTTAAGAAATTTGTTATATTCCACTTGAGTTTTTTATTTCTCCTAGGAAATTCTAAATTAGCCACATTAAGGTACTTAAATATTTTCATAATGTACTTAATAACTGTTTGGTATTTTTAAACATTTAGTGCTTAATTCAGCAAATTCTGAGATTACCACAAAACCAGTCTGAGATTTCGAAGTTGGTCAAACTGCAACCATGTAGAAGAAAATCAATTATTACTGTGGCATGCTTAGTACTCTCTCTAATTAATAACTACCAAAAATTATTAATAGAAGTAAAAAGTTCTTAATTTGTATCTTTCTTGGCCTATAGGTTTAGCACATAAATATTATAAGATGAAAAATAATCAGCTTCCTTAATGGAAGTTAGCAGATACACAGTTGTTAATATTGCATCATGTGATGACATTTAGCTACCTTTCTGATATATGTGCTTTAGGTAACAAAATCAGTTGCACACCCTGACCTCATGTGCAGACTTCCTAATACTTAGTACTGAAAGTGGAGAAAATAATCCCACCAATCTGAAACTACCTGAGGTCTATATGTTAAGACTTGTTGACTCTGATAAAATAAAAACTCTTTATATAATAGACTAACTGTGCAGTAATAAATGATACCAGATGGAGGGTAAAGTTACAAACCAACTGTATCAGAATATTCCAATTATGTTAAAAATAAGGCCCTGGTTGTTTATTGAAATTAAACTTTTATTTTAAACCTTAGTGGGTTAATAAATGATTATTTGGAAAGTCATACAACTAATCTAAATGAACCTACCTAGTGACATAAAGGGGTTATACTTGGAGAAAAATATTTTTTAAAACATTTTCTATTGTTTTATCTAAAATGCTATATTCCTATATTTTCCCATACTTAAAATTAGGCAGTAGCAACTGTTTCATGAGATACTAAAATTTGGGCTGTTGGTATGAACTACTGACAATTTAAAAAAATGATGCGACAACATAGATGGACCTAGAGAATATTATGCTAAGTGAAATAAGTCAGACTAAGAAAGACAAATACCATATGATCTCACTTATATGTAGAATATACGGAACAGAATAAATGAGCAAACAAAACAGAAAAAAAAATGATAGGAGAAGGCCAGTTTGAGGGCAGTTTTCAAACCAATATAAACTCAGGTTTCAAGGATTCGTTCAGATAACAGATCACATGTATTTTGCTAAATTGATCAGATTATGAATTTCTAAAAAAAATGTTTTAATACTTGACAGTGTTGGTGGAAGGTTGAGATAACGGCACAACGTGCTTCAAGCAAGTGGCTCCCAACACCCCCCACAAAACTCCCAAACCAGAGGCAGTATCTGGACCCTATGGAAGAATAATAAAGCAAACAGGTCACATCTCAATAATCCATGATCAGGAAAAAGCAAAAGATGTATGGTTTCTACTGGTATTGGCCTCTTGGAAAAGAAAATGAGTCAGTCAAAACTCTGGAAACTCCAGCGGGAGAACCACAGCTCAGGATTACCGTGGAAGTTTCCCTGTGGGAGCCACGGCTGAGCATCTTCAAGGCGGTCTAGCCAGGCAGCAGCGCCGGGCTCTGCGCAAATACAGCACTGACAGAAAGCATGAACTTCCTGCACTGCAAAGGTTACACCCAAATAAACTAATTCCTTCAGTATGTCTTGCTTTGCCAGCATATTCACTGTAAAACATGTAACAGACACTTAAAATAGAAATCAAGATTACAGGCAATATTTTGGAAACCAGGTCTTCCTCAAGCTGTGGAAAAATCTGGGTGGCCCAGATTCCCTCCTTTCTTAAAGTGAGACTGTTTTTCCTCCCACTCTAGAAAAGAGGTGGAAATGTTTACATGGATACATCTGATGTGTTGACACAGCTCTTAGCAATAAGTCCTTCAAAAGGGCGATCTTTTCCTTCACATTCTGCAACAAGGCTCTGATTGTCACCGTAAGCTGAAAAGAAAAGAACACATCCTAAGTATGCTAATCCAGGGGTACAGAACCTACTAAAAATATCACGTAAACCCTGCTTTACATACTATGACTCGATCAAGGAAGGCCTGGAAGAGATGCTTAGCCTCCCAACTACAACCTCAAGGTTGAAGGAATCTTAATGGTGGCCTGGTCCAGCCACCCACATACTTGCACCCCCTCGACCACCTGACCAGGTGGTAAGCCAGTCCATACCTGAACACTGACCTGTCACTTTGCCCTCACAATCTGCTGAATTATGTCCCCTGAGCATCTACCCTCTGATTCTGTCTCCCTTAGAGCCATGCAGGACACTGTGTTCCCCAGTCTTCATTCACCAGCGAAAATCCCACAATACACTGAACTGCTTCAAATGACAAGATGTCAAGTCCCATTGCCATCCCACCAGTCTTCTCTAAACACACTGCTATACTTATAACTCACTTAAAAGCTTTATAGCAAAGTGTTCTTTTTATACAGGAGGAATGTTAACCATACATAATTCTTTTTCCAGGATTGTGTGAATTTTTTTCCAATCCTTCTACAAACCCAGAGGAAATTTTTGTTTGTGACTCTAAGTGCTACCTTAAAGGATGGAGGAGGGGTGGGGAGAGAGCCTCTCAGAAATATGAAAAATAAAAGTGCCCATTAAGTTAAATATAGTCAACCAAGGATGAAATCAGAGATATGCTTAAAAAGGTACACTATCACAGGTTTCATTTGTTATCTTGTTAAAAGTAGCAATTATACAATTACAATGGAAGCAGGGCTCCCTCCTTAGATTAACAGGGTCACACTAAAGAAAAAACAGCAGAACACCAGAGGATGGCCAAGGGCTACACACATCAAGTAACCCTCAAAAGTATCAGCAGCCAAGAAAAGTCTAATGTCAACTATTCTAATACCCCTGGGAACCACAGAAAAACCACCCACAATGTTTATAGGGAAACACCAAGGAGAACGGATTTCTCCTCATTCAAGAAGCAAAGAGCTAAACAAACAGAGCACAACACACCATACACACACACACACCAGGCCTAAGAAGGGTCAACAAAAATAAAGACCAAAAGCATTTAAGAGATGAAAGAGTATATAGCCATTAAAAAGTATGACTGAAATCTAAATTTGTTAACATAGAAAGATATCCATCATAATTTATTAAAAGAAAAAAAAATCAACTCATAAAATGAAATGTCACCCACACAGGGAAAAAAACAATCCAGAAACTACATACATCAAAATGACCAGGGTAGTTATCTCTAAGTAGTGGGATTTCTTAATAATTATAAGAAAATGATTGCTTTTATAGTCAGGAGAAAATTTCTGTTATCATAGTTTAACAGAAGCTTTGCAAAGCATAGATAAAAAAGGAATGCCTAATTTATATTTTAAGCTAATACACCCTGGTAACAAGCACTGACAGAGATAATGGAAAAAAAGAAATCACATGCCAATTTCCCTTAGGGATTATAAATGTAAAAGTCTTTTTTAAATATTAGCAAAGCAAATTCAGAATTACATAAAAAAAGACAATCTACCATCACCAAGTAGAATTTATCCTAATAATTTAAGAATAGTTTGATGTTAGAAAATCTAATAATAAAGCTAACAACTTTAATGATTAAAAATAGAATAAAAATATGATTAATACAGCATAAGATAAATTAAAAACAAAACAAAGAAAGAAAACTGAATGGAACACTACTGCCTTAACTGCAATGTTATTTAACTTTGGTCTAAAAGTTCTAACCAATGCAATAAGACAAGTTAAAGAAATACATAAGGGTTAGAAAGGAAATGAAATTATCATTATTTACAGATTAATAATGGTCTCTTTGGGAAAGTCAACAGAAGCATCTGAAAGATTACTAGAAACAGGAAAATAATTCAACATACTGATCAATCATAAAATGAAAAAATCAAGGGTATTTATAAATTCAGTAATAGCTAGGGAAATTTTTTAATTATTATTTTTCAAACATCATTAACAATATCAACAAAATAAAAAAAATATCTAGCACAGTACCTGGCATATAGTAACTACAGGAAATACTGCTGACAGAACGAGTAAAAGGAAATATTTTCCAATTTAATCTATATGCTCTCCAATTTAATCTATAAATATACTTAGAACATATCTATTCAAAATTCCATTTGCAGTTCTTTTATTGTAGAGGAGGTGGTAACTGAGGCATAGCACAAAATTCTTTTTCTTTTTTTAGCTGAGCCATCCTGCCACCTGTTGGCAGCTCAGCGGCTGCTCAGCTTGGGCTGGGACTCGAACTGCTGTTGCTCAGAGCTCAAACTCTTGAGTGAGCTCTTAGCCAACTGAGACACTCAGCCGGCCCTAACACAAAATTCTTCTTAATGAAGCTATGAAAAACCTCTCAAAAGAAGAATAAATGAAGGAAAATATAGAAAAATCAAGAATAGGTGTAATAAAGGGGGACTTAAGCAATCAGATATTAAATCTTTATTAAAAAACTACAAGGGTATGATGCCAACAGCTTCATTAGTGCAAAAGAACAGAAGATCCAGAAACAATGCAGTAGGGTAAAAACTCAGTGAACAAAATATGGAGTATTTCATACCCTTGGGGAAGGGAATTAATAAGTAAGCAAAAGGGAAAAAAAATACAATTAGATGCCTACAATACACCAAAATAAACTTCAAATACTTTAAACATTTATGTGTCTTTAAAACAATAAAAACAGAAGAAAAGTTTAAAGAAAATTTAAATTAAGTAAAATATTTATATAATCTCTGGGTGTGAATGGTCTTTCTAAAGATTATCTCCCCTCCTCCTATAAGAAAAGATCACAAATAAAAATACTGATAATTTCAAATAAAATTTACAAACAAGTACATGTTTTTAAAAGTCATGTATTAAATCAAAAGCCAAATTAATAGAAAAATATTTGTATTAAATATGCCACATCAAGATTTAATGTAGTTAACATATACATAAAGAACACTTTGAAATTACTAAATAAGTTAGTAATTTATACATATACAGTCAATTCATAAAGGAAGAAAAACATATATCTAATATGTAAAAGATGTTCAATGGTATAATAAAAAAATGTAAACTATTGCATACTTTCACCTAACAGTGCGATTTTAAAAAGGTAATCAGAAATGGTGTAGAAACATAATTCTATAATATATACATATATGAGTATATGCTCATATATGTTCAAAAGGCTTAAAATTTCATACAACCTAAATCCAGAAAGCCTACACTGAGGAACTGACTCTAATCTTGGCAATAATCTAACCACACTGGAAACTCATCTATAATTAGAAATAATCTAACTGCTCAAGAAGATGATGCTGGTTAAATGAATCAGCGATCTAAATGTAAAAAAATGAAACTATACATTTACTAGAAGAAAACAGGAATAAATTCCTTTATAACCTACAACTATAAAAGCTATGAGTGAAAACAGAGAAGCAATTAAAAATAATCACCTTCAGAGCCAGCCAAATGGCTCAGTTGGTTAAGAGCTCGCTCAAGAGTGCGAGCTCTGAGCAACAGGGCCGCTGGTTCGATTCCCGGCCTGAGCTGAGCTGCCACTAGGTGGCAGGATGGCTCAGCTAAAATAATAATAATAATAATAATAAAAACAAAATAAATTTTAAAAAATTTTTAAAAAGTCAATTTCATTTGAAAAATCAAAACTTTCACATAATAGACGATACCATAAGCAAAGTCAAACAACAAATGATAAAAGAGAGGAAATAATTACACTATATCACAAAGAGCTAATCTCCCTAATACATAAGGAGCTCTTAAAGACTAAAAGAGACCAAGAATCCAATAGGAAAATGGGCAAAAGTAAAGAGTTCACAGAAAACTATATATCAATAGCGTTTAAACATGTGAAAACATACCTCACTTGATTCATAATCCAAAAAATGCAAATTTAAAACTATGACATATCCTATCTCTCTATCAGAGTGGCAAAAATTCAGAAGATTGACAACACCCTGCTGGCCAGCCTGTGAAGAAATAGAAACTCTCAAGCAGTGCTGGTAGGGGGTGTCAAATGTGATAACCCCTGTGGAGGGGAACTTGGCAACAAGAAAAAAAAAATCACATATGCCCTGGTTCTGAGAATTCACCCTTAAAATAGACACTTCCACAAATACAAAGAAAGGAAAAAAAAAACAGCACAAAGCTATTTATTGCAGTATTATTCATAACAGCAAAAGACTGGAAACAATCTAAATGCCCATCCTTAGGAGACAGGTTAAATGAACTAAGGCACATCTACACAATGCAGTATTATAGAGCCCTAAAAAAAAAACAAAGATCTCAGTGGATTAAGATGGAGCAATTTCTATGATATATTAGTAAATAAAAAAAGAGCAAGATACAAAAGAACATTTTTTGTGTAAAAGGAAGAGAAATAAAAATACACACGTGCGCGCGCACACACACATACCACCCTCAAAAATAGGAGGGTTTTCAGACCTCAAAGCTCAAACAAGTCATTTCAAGTACTAATTTCTCCTGGTCTTACCTTGGTAGTACTTTCACCATGTCTTTCATACTGATTTCGTTGTTGAATTTTCTCAGCAATTTCTTGTGCAATTTGGCAAGCAGAATCGTATGTGGAGAACCTGTATCAAAGTCATAAAGGGAAAAAAATGTTTAAGGCTCTTTAAAAGAAATTTTATATATTCATGTATAGGAAAAAAGAGCAGGTGAGACAAGACATCACATCATTAGGAAAATAGAAGGGAAGCTCATAAGGAAAAGTGTGTCCTGTCCCAGCTTTGCCACATCTCTTTTTCTCCTCCATACCGTTGTCTATAAAAAGAAGAGCTTAGGTCTGGCTCCAGACCACACATATGAAAATCAATAAGGTACAATATGCCTCCCATCAGATGTGAGGTATAAATCCTAAGTATTTCTGGAGTTCCGAAGTGACAGAAATTACTGCTGGTTCAGGCACTCAGACCTGTGATAGGGCTGGGCCAAGAGGTTAGTTACATTTTAGGCTGAGGAACCAGGTTACAGCAGGCCTCTCATTCTGACAGGAGGGAGAAGCACATTCTAGATGTGGCAAAAGGCACAAGGTGTAAGCAAAGATGAAGTGAACAGAATGGGCCTGGCATGTCGCGCTGAGTGGTGGCCCTGGGTAGGAGGGTAAAGGGTAAAATAGTAGAAAGGAGTGGAAGCTAGTTTCTGACGAGCCTTGAACACCAGCCTAATCAGATTAGACCTGTACGAGAATTTCAGAACTGTAGAGGCGACTTTTACATAGAAAGTGAGGCCTTGAAGACATCTTGCCCCCAATCCTCATGCTCTCACTTTAGCCATCAAGAGCAGCAGTTCTGAAACTTTACTGCATATTGAAATAACTGGGGAATTTTAAAAAACAAACAAAAAAAAACAATTCCTGGCTCCCTTCCCCAAGCTTTCTGATTATTGGTATGGGGTTTGACCTGGATAGGAGTTGCAAAAGCTCCCCAGGTGGTTCCAATTTGCAGCAAAGTTTGGGAACCACTGGCCCAGTGGTAACAGGCAACTTTATTATGGTATCAGCATACAAGTGCTTCAAGCACTAGTTTAGGAAAATTAACCTGAACTTCGTTTGCATAAATAATTGGGAAGGACAGAAGGGTGGCAGAGACCAGTTGAAGACTCCCCAGGTATTCAGTTACATAACCAGTCACCAGTGCTGCAAGGCATAAGGCTATAAAGGATTGGACTATGGCAGAAATAGACGTCAGAAAAGAGTTTTAAAAGGAAAAAAAGCCAAAGAAGACTAGTGAATAATCTGATAGGAGGAGTGAAGAAAAAGTGGATAATTAGAGTTTTCAGGCCTAAGTGTTGCCATGACAGAGACGGAAGAACTGGAAAGTGGAGAATACAAGAAGTTTCCAGACTATGAGTTGAGACTTGTTGTAGCACAAAAATGCTGACTGTATAGTTAAAATTGATATATGTGCAAGATTTATATTAAAATACACTCAGAAAAAAAAAAGATATGGAGAACTGAGATGAAACAAGAATGGCAAAATATTGATAATTCCAGAAAATGGGTGATGCGTATAAAGGGGCTCATCATACTATCCCATTTTATATATTTGTTACCTTCCATAAAATTTTTTAAAAATAGCCAAAAAAACCCCACCAGTGTTCACTAATTCCTTTGTTTTGTATTAACAAAGGTTGCAAAAAAATTAAATTAAAAAAAATAAGTTCAACCAGAATATACAACTATTAAGATTTAACTGTATTTTTTCCAGAAATGGTATATCATTAACAAATAAATTCCTAGCAAGGAAAGCTAATTAACTTTCTGAAAGAGCCAGTTCAGCGACAATCATCACGCACTACTTTTACTAAACAGTGAGTTTACCACTTGCTTTGATATGCCATTAAAATGTTAACTATTATATTCTATTTCTAAACATTAGAACACTACTCAGGAGCGAAGCATCATTGATCTATGACTTTCAATAGCAAAGTCTGTTTTTATAGGTTTTTCAAAGACCCATTCCATCCTCCTTTCTACCGTCCAGATCAGCAACCCACTTAGCAGGTAACAGCAAAGTTCCCCCACGGTTTCACCTTCAACAGTCAAATGAGAAAGCCATTGAGTCAAGCTACTTGAAAGTAACAGGAAAAATTATGTTTTTTCAACATTAACTGTGGAAGAGGCTTGGAATCCAGGGATAGCTTCACCAAATCTAAATGGATAACCTGGGACCTCTCCCTTATATGAGCTTTATATTTTACCTTATCTGGCAAGTGAGGGAGTTAGCTTCCAGGAAGGTAGAGGACAATTTAGCAGTATGTACCAAGGACCTTAAAAATGTTCATCCCCTTGGACCCAAATAGTTCAACTTCTCAGACATGAACCAAGGAAATAAGAGATGAAACAAAGGGGCAGTCCTTGCAATAGTTTTAAAAAAACAAAAACAAGCTCTAATATTACAAAGAGGTACAAAAAGGGGAATAAAGTATGGTTATTCATATGATGCACTCTTAGGCACCATAAAAAAAACTTTCAGTAAATATTCAATATGGAGAAATGTTCTCTGTTTTGTAAACATATACAAACACAAGTTACATAAAGTAATAAATTCATTTAAAAAATCAATAATGGCTATTATTCCAAATGATAAAGACGTTAATTTTTTTCTCTGCAAATATTCAGTATTTTCTCAATTTCCTGTCAGGGCATACACAATTGTTAAAATTAGGTAAAAAAAAAATTAGTGTTACTCAACTAAGCCATTGGCCCAGATAACCTAGATCTAGTGCTAACTTTGATCTTGCAATCCATTCTCCTAATACCCAGATAGTCTGCAACTTAAGCAATTATGAACTGTATTAGAAATAACATAAGACATATACTCTGACAATAAGTTTATAGAACTATAATGCTTTTAATTATTAAACAAAAGGCTCAAGTCCGATATGCTATAGCAATATGTTCCTTGGGATCAGAACTTTTGTCTTTCATCAGTCAATTCTTGGGATTTAATTATGGAATGACCCTTGTCAGCTAATGTTTCACTGCAGCTGTTGCTACCATAGCAAGTCTTCATGATATTGACTCAGGTAAGGATAAAATGCCTTATAAACAAATGCATAATTTCCCTCCTGGATCCCTACAAGTTTTTTTGAAGGGCCATCAAGATCTAGGTCCTAGCGCCAACTGGTTACCAACTGGCTGGTGACTATGGATTCTGAACCTCAGTTTCTCCACTTATGAAATAAGGGGGTTCACCAGATGGGCAGGCATTCCACAAAGAGATTATTACTTCTACTTCACTTTCACAGGAGTCCAGGGAAACCTGCACCAAGCAGTTCCACAACCAGGATCGGCGGCAAATCCCGGCGGCGGGATACAGCCAAGAAGGACTAGAGAAGTGTTCAAATTCAGCACTAGTACTTAGCTCTCCAAGGGTCCACTTGGTCTCCTGTCCCGACCACCCCTGCAAACACAGAGAGTGGCGCGATGCGGCAGAGTCCCCCTCGGCTGGGGCTGGAATCCTTGCTGTCCCTCCCCTCATCCCGAAAGGCCTTCTGCCTCAATGCCTTGTGATAGCACGCTCCCCCGAAGCCTGGCCTACCCCCAAAGACACTCCACGCGCGGCCGCCCACACCCCGGGCTCACCAGGGGTCCGGAGCCATCCTGCAGTCTCCTCCCGCTCCTCGGACACTTCCTGCTTGCAGCAGCTGACTACGGCGGCTCGTGCGGCTCATATCTCGTGGTTCGACGTGCGCGACCGGAACCTGAGTCTGCAAAGTGAATATACACTAGGGCCTCAAAACTATGATAAAGAAAGGACATCGCTCCCGCGAGGATCAGTAGGTTGGAATAATCTGCTCCCACTAAGAGACATGAACAGCTGGGCGCAATGAAAATAAAATTGTTGAACAAAATCTAAGCATTTCCCCAAGAAGGTGGGAGCTCCTCAAAACCTCTACCAGTTAACTGAAAATTTTATCCCGCTTAAAACAAAACCAAAAACGATTGTGGTGATAACTGCACAACTGTATAAATTTACTTAAACTCACTTTAAGTGAATTTTATGATATATAAATTATATCTCAAAAAAGCTTTAAAAAATGTATGCAACTTCAAATTTTATAGCAGTCCTCTGTGTTTGATTAACTTTTAAATACCATTGGTGCTTGATTATATAGTTACCAAAAAGGTCACCGACTACATGGGGGGAGAAAGAATTCGTTCTATGCATTTGGTGCCCCCTAAATTTCCAGAGATATAGGAAAAAGGAGCACTCTCCATTTGCAAGAGAGAATGCAAAGGAATTTTAACTCCATAGGCTGCCTTTAGCTCGGGCTTGGATCCGGTGCGCATGCGCAGCCGTTACCATAACGACCAGAGGACGCCGTATGGCTGGATGCCTGAAAGGAAAGAGAATTGTCTCCTCCTGGTGATGGAGAACCAAATTTCGTCCAAGGCCGAGGAGGCTGAGCTGGAGCTTGAGGCTGTGATCGGCTTCAATGGTGAGGCCCCGAGCATGTCTGGGCTGGGTGGTTTGGGATCCCTGGGACGTGTAGTTCCAACAGGAACAGTAAGACACCGGATGGCACCTGGAAGTCAGTGTGGGACCCTGGCATGAGCCTTGGCCAGGGCCAAGCACCGGGAGCCAACAGCCTGTCCTGCCCAGTGGCCTTAGAGAGTCACTTGCTAGTTCCAAGCCTCAAGGAGTGGGGTGTCGGTCCGAACTGATGAGTAAGGGTGGTTGTAGCCCTTCTCCCACTAGGTTAAGCTCTCCCTGTCTCTAAACCCCACGCAGCCCGCAAAGCAGCCCTCCCCTCAGTAACCATCGGATTACCGAGTCCGTGTTGGCCTCTGGGACCAACTAACTTCCCACAACCCAGCTAATGTATTAATGAGAAAGGGCTGGGAAGAGACCGTGTGTTTGAATAACAGCTTTAAGTTATGATGTCCTCTAACCCCAAATGATTCTAATGATGAGGACTTCAGACCACGGTGGAAGGGGAAAAGGACGCTAGGGGGAGCAAGAGGGGAGAAATGCTTCGGTCAGAAGAGACCTGGTGGTTCTGCTCAAATTTTATTTATGACTGCCTCTTATTTTGAACATTAAAGGGGAAAATGCTGTTTGTTTTTTCTTGAAGGATGAAAACAGGCAATGGGTTACATTTTAGAAAAGCAAACTTTTTAAAGTGCATTGTGATGACTGAAAGCTTTAAAATTGTAAAACTAGATGCAAAACAATCAAAGACCAAGGCTTTAAGCGCATTTTAGGGTTTGGCTCTTGACTCTTCGTTTTCCTTTAACCGTTTATGATAGAAAGTGGCCACTTAGTGCTTCTGAGATATTGGCCATTTTTAGAGCTGTTTACAAAATCATTTAAGAAATGTTTTAAAATTATAAAAGTACAATGAAACTAAAAGAAAGATCAGCCGTCGTTACGTTTCCCAAAATATCACTGTTGACTTTAGTGTGATTTTTTCAAATATACACTTACATCACTTACATATAAATATGTTTTTTTATATATAAAAATGGACTCAGGCTGTATATATTCCCTTATAACCTGACGGTTTTTTTTTCACTAAACAGTATACCGTGTAAAGCTTTCCTTACCAGTAAATATAGTCTATGCCATAATTTTAATATAATATTTTAACATATTCTGTTGCATAGATATACCACAATTTATATAAACAATGCCCTGTTCTTGAGAATTTAATATAATGTTCATTTCTTTACATTATCTTTAAATGCTACAGAGAACATCTTTATAGCTAAAACTTTTAACTCTTTAACTTTTTCCTTAGGATAAATTCTGTGTACATCTTAAAGACTTTTGATGTATCTTCCCAATACTATACCAGATATGCAACAGAAATGTGTACCCCAAAAATATGGGACTATTTATAGTAGCATTCTTTCAAATAGCTGAAAATTAAAAACAACCAAATGTCCTTCAACAGTAAAAGGACAAATAAATGGTGGTAAGTTCACACAATAGACTACTGGCAACAATGGAAAAGAATGAACTACTTCCACACACAGCATGGATAGATCTCACAAACATAACGTTCAATGAAAAAAGCCAGATGCAAAAAAAAGTACATACTGTATAATTCCACTCATATAAAGTTCTAAAATGAGGAAAATTAATTTACAAGAACAGAAGTCACAACAGCAATTACCTTTGGGGAGATATAGACTAGAAGAAGGCTCGTGGGGAATGTGTGAGGTGTGGTAACAATCTACTTCTTGATCTGGACTGCAGTTAAATGGGTGTGCAAAGTTATCAAGTTTTCTTTTTGTCTTCAATGAAAAACGTATACTTTAAAAGTCTATACTGCCTCACATAAAAGAGAATAAGTAAAGTTTTATGAAAGTTTGGGACAAAAATTCTAATCTGGGCTTGAGTGAGGTAAAGGAAGGATTAACTCAAATAGTCTTTAAAGGTGGGTAGGAGTCAGTGGGTAAAGACCGAGGGGCAGGGCCGGCCGAGTGGCGCATTGGTTAAGAGTTGGCTTGGGACGCCAGCTCTGAGCAGCAGGGCCCTGGTTCAGATCCCACATTAGGGCCAGTGACACTGCGCTCTCTACAGCTAATATGGTGAACAACAGCTCGACCTGGAGCTGGGCTACTGTGAGCCGCAGGCGAAGGCATGGGCGTGGGCGTGGGCTGCCATAAGCTACTTTGAGAGGCCAGTGGCCAGCGTGAACTGCCAAGAGCTGCCGTGAGCGGCCGTCCAATGGCGGGAGAGCTACTGCCTCACCTGGGAAGAGCACAGTGATAATACTAACATGGGCCAGTGAAGCAACGTCCTCCACAACTAGACTGAAGAACAAAGGACAGCAACTTGTCTGTTCCCCTTCCCTGATTCCCCAATAAAATAAATAAATAAATAAATAAAAGATTGAGGGGCAGAAAAGCAGGAAAGGGGTGAGCAAAGGAGGAAGGCACAGAGTGTAGGGCCTCGTTAGGGAATGGCAAAGAGCTTGGTGTGGCTTCAATGTTCAGGGACTGGCAGGAAAACACAGGAAAGAGAGCCTGGGATTAGATTTTGGAGGCTTTAAATACCAGGTAATTGAGTTTAGCCTTCATATGGAAGACAAATTAGAAGCAAAAGCAAAGCCCCATTTATCATTATGACACTAGAGCTCATTGTGGTGTAACATTATAGTTTATGAGTTTTAACTTGAGGGTGTAAAATATGTAACCGTACTTGACTCTTTTACTGAGGTATTTTGACAGGAATTTATTATTTAAGCAAACCAAATATAGTTGTGTTGCTTATGAAAGCATTTTATAAAACGATAGTTATTAAGAGTTTGGTATTGACACAAGATTAGTCACATTTATTAATTTACTGGAGTAGATAAGCCCACAATTTTCCTATTATGCAAAGAGTTCTTAAACAAAAAAACAGCAATAATAACAAGATAGATCAGGATTCTGCAAATGATAGTCTGTGGGCCAAATCTGGCTCTCTGTCTAGTTTTGTAAATAGTTTTATTGAAACCCAGCCATGTACATATATTTATGTACTGTATATCACTGCTTTTAAACTACAATAGCAGACTTGAGTAGTTGTGGGCCATAAAGCCTAAAATATTTACTGTTTGGCCCTTTTTAATAGAAAGTATTTGCCAAACTCTGAAATAGATAATGACTAAAGATATATATATGGGGAAGGGAGCTAATAGCTCAAAATTCTAAAAATTTGCTATTAAAACAATGACATTTTTTTACTTCTCAGATTGGCAAGGTTAGAAATACGAATAATAGTAAGGTGATAATAAGAAATGATTACTATTGCTGGGAGAATAAATTTTATAAGCTTTGTGAAAGATGGTTTTGTGGTGTCTATTATAATTTTTAAGGAGGATAATCTTTGAACTTTTAAGAACTTGAATCACTTATTCAAGTTTTTAAAAATTATGTATGAGATTCACTGTGGTAGTGTGTATAACAGCTCAAATATTGGAGGAAAAAACCCAAATGTCCATTGGTAAAAAGTTGTTTTAAAAAATTAATCCAGAAATGTTTTGGAACTAGATAGAAGTGGTGGTTGCACAACATTGTGAATGTACTAAATGCCTTTGGATTGTTCACTTTATTTTAATTATTATTATTATTTTATTAGCTGAGCCATCCTGCCACCTGTTGGCAGCTCAGTGGCAGCTCAGATTGGGCCGGGAATCGAACCACTGTTGCTCAGAGCTCACACTCTTGAGTGAGCTCTTAACCAACTGAGCCACTCAGACATCCCTGGATTGTTCACTTTAAAATGGTTAATTTTATGTTATACATAGAAAACCCTACAGACTCCATCAAAAACTGTTAGAACTAATGAATTAATTCAGTAATGTTACAGGATACAAAATTAATACTCAAAAATCTGTTGTATTTCTATACACTAATAGCAAACTATCAGAAAGAGAAATGAAGAAAACAATCTTATTTACAATTGCATCAGAAGAATAAAATACCTAGGAATAAGTTTAGCCAAAGAGGTACAAGGTATATTGAAAACTATAAGACATTAGTGAAAGAAATTGAAGAAGACACAAATAAATACAAAGATGTTCCTTGCTCACGGGTTAGAAAAATTAATACTGTTAAAAATTCCATACTACTCAAAGCCACCTACAGATTCAATGCAATCCCTATCAAAATTCCAATGGCATTTTTCACAGAAATAGAAAAAACAATACTGAAATGTGTGTGGAACCACAAAAGACCCCAAATAGCCAAAGCAATCTCAAGAAAGAACAAAGCTGGAGGCATCATGTTCCTTGATTTCAAACTCTATTCCAAAGTTATAGTATTTAAGACAGTATGGTGTTAGCATAAAAACTCACATAGATCAATGGAACAGAATAGACAGCCCAGATACAAACTCATGCACACATGGTCAATTAATTTATGACAAAGGAGCCAAGAAAATAATAGGGAAAGGCAGGATTCAAAAGGATAAAACTGGACCACTATCTTACACCACACACAAAAATCAACTCAACATGGATTAAAGACCTTAACCTAAGACATGAAATCATAAATCTCCTAGAAGAAAACATAGGCAATTAAGATCCTTGACATCAGTCTTGGCAATGATTTTTTTAATCTGACACCAACAGTTAAAAGCAACAAAAACAAAAATAAGTGTGACTATATCAAACTAAAAAGTTTCTGTACAGCAAAGGAAGCCATCAACAAAATAAAAAGGCAATCTGTTGGCCTAGAGGAAATATTTGCAAAGCATATGTTTGATAAGGGGTTAATATCTAAAATATATAAAGAACTCATATAACTCAATAGCAAAAAACCCCAAACAATCTGATTTAAAAATGGGCAAAAGATCGGAATAGACATTTTTTTTCCAAAGAAGACATGCAGATGGCCAACAGGTACATGAAAAGATGCTCAATATTATTAATCATCAGGGAAATGCAAATCAAAAGCACAATGAGATATAACCTCATACCTGTTAGAATGGCTATTATCAAAAAGACAAGAAATAACAAGTGTCGGTGAGGATTTGGGGAAAAGGGAACCCTGTGTACTGTTGGTGGGAATATAAATTGGTGCAGCCACTATGAAAAACAGTATGGAGGTTCCTCAAAACATAAAAAATGGAATGATCATTTGATCCAGCAATTCCACTTTGTACATATACACAATGGAATATTACTCTGCCAAAAAAAGAATGAAATCTTGCCATTTGCCACAGCCTGGATGGACCTCAAGGGCATTATGCTAAGTTAAATAAGTCAGACAGAGAAAGACAGATACTGTATAATCTCTTTCTTATATGTGAAATCTAAAAACAAAACACCAAGCTCATAGATACAGTGAACAGATTGGTGATTGCCTGAAATTTTTGTATTTCTCACAAAAAGTTAATTTTATATTATGTGAATTTTACCACAATAAATTATCTTTTAGTTATAGTCCTTTTCTACAACAAAATACTATCTAATCCTTAAGAAAAAGAGATCTATATAGAATACCACGGAAAGATGTCAAAGATATATTAAGTGTAAAATGCAACTTGCCAAATAGTATGTATGGTATGAGCCTGTTATAGTTTAAAGTGTGTGTGTGTGTGTGTGTGTGAGAGAGAGAGAGACAGAGAGACAGAGAGAGAGAGAGAGACAGAGAGAGACAGAGACAGAGAGGCGGGGGAACAGTGTGTGAGTATGGTGAAAAGAGGAAAAGGTGTTCCTGAACATCCTATTTAAGGAGAATCCCAACTTAAGTAAGAGTGAGTTCTCTTGCCTTTGGTGAGGGCCTAAAAGGGGCAGATATTTCCTCTCTTAACTCCTTGGCAGCCATCAGAGACATGTGACATAATAGACTCGGCCACTCAGATGTGAAGATGCTTATCTTTTCATGTTTGTTGGCTTTTAAATTCCCCTCCATCATAAATTGCCTTTTCATAACCTTTGCTCATTTTTCTGTTGGGCAGTTTGTGTTTGCTTTGCTTTTAGTAGTTCTTTGTATATTCTAAATATAATCCAGATTTCTACTTTGCAAATATCAATTATGTATAAATATTGCCAAAACATGTATACACATTTTAAGATAATAGGTCTTAAAATGTGTATACATTTTTTTGGCACCCTCCTCCCCACAGTATATATGAGGTCGGACAATTAAGTTTGCGAACTCGTTGCAATGATGTTGCTAACCTCTTTTGATATCAGAGAGATTATTCATTATGAATTTATACCAACTGAACAAACAGCCAAGTTTACTATTTGGAAGTGCTGAAAAGGCTGAGTGAAAAAGTTATATAAAAATTATGAACTTTTCATCAACAATTCATGGCTCTTGCATCACGAAAATACATGGTGAGGGAGTTTTTAGCCGTTAAAAAAATAAATGTATTGCAACACCATTCCTACTCACCTGATCTGGCCCCCAATGACTTCTTTCTTTACCCAAAGATAAAGGAAATATTGAAGACATTTTGATGACATTCAGGACATCAAGGGTAATACGACGACAGCTCTGATGGCCATTCCAGAAAAAGAGTTCCAAAATTGCTTTGAAGAGTGGACTAGGCACTGGTTGGTGTCAGTGCATAACTTTCCACAGGGAGTACTTCAAAGGTGACTGTAGTGATATTCAGCAGTGTAGTACTTTATTTATATATAATGTACTTAAAAATATATTCTCCTGTTTGGGTTTTTCTTTTTCTTTTTTTTGCATTAGAAGTTTTTAATTTTAGCACAACTGAATACATATATTGGTCTTTTCTGTTAGGATTTGCTCTTTTCTCATGTTATGTTTAAGGAGTCATTTCCTACAGCTTGTGTGTATATTGAGTCTTGTTTTTCAGATTTAGGTCCTCGATCCACCTGGAATGTATTGTTGTGGATGGTGTGAAGTAGGGATCTAATTTTACTTTTTCCATATGGATAACCACATGATTATTTATAAGGAGCCTGCAATCAAGAAAAAAATAAATATATATTTTAGTAGGAATAGATCACACCCAGACACAAACCTTAGTATTATGAGAACTTACTATATTAAAAAAATAAAATCACAAAGTGAAAAAAAAATCATTTACTCAATAAAAACATTTGGTTATTTATGCAAACAGAAAATCTATTTAGCTACTGGGATCACATTATGCACCAAAGTACATTCCATAGGGAGTTAAATATAAAAGATGAATTCATTAAAAGACCAGAAGACTATATTAATAAGTATTTATGATTCTTTTGGTAGGGAAGGAAATAGCAATAAAAAAAGATTTTTAAATACTCAGAAATAAATGTAATAAGAAATGTGTGAGATCTTCAAGAAGAAAAATTGGAAATGCTACTGGGGGACATAAAAGTAGATTTCATAGAAAAACGTACCATTTATTTATTCATTTATTCATTTATTTTTGTATTATAATTTTTTTAATTAAAGTTTATGGGATGACATACCCTATTTTTAGAAAGGAAGCATAATGTATCATTATAAAAATTACTTTTCCTTAAATCAATCTACACATTTAATATTCCACCAAAATTGATTTTTTTATCTAGTCAAGCTGACTTTAAAGTTTATGTTGTAAAATAAATATGAAGAATAGCAAAAAATTCTGACCAAAGGAAAACAAAATTTTGTCTTCACCAAGCTTGTGCCCCAGGTAGCATTCGCGTCCCCCCATGCCTATGCCCTCACCCAGGACAGGCTGCTCAGGCTTCGTGCTCTCATGTGTCTTAGAATTACAAGAATTGGCCCTAGGGCCTTGCTGTCCAAAGAGAGGTTCCTGGACCAGCATCACCATCAGCAGCACTTAAAAAAAGCTTATCAGGAACGCAGAATCTCAGTCCCACCCCAAACCTAAAATCAGAACCTGCATTTTAACTGGACACCCTGGGAATTTTATGCCCATTCAAGTTTTAGAAGTCATAGACTAGATTGACCTTCTAGTCAGTGGAATAAAATTAACTATTATCCCCACTTCTTTTCCATGAACTAAGGCTTAATTTAAAAAGCATTCACTTTTGCACTCAACTGGAAAAAAAAGTGCCAGCCCCTTCTGTACCTCATTAATACTTTTACTCTCTTTTAGGACATGTGCCCACTGGTCTGCTCTGCCATCCTGACCAGGAGCATCTGGTTTACCCTCTGGGGTGCACAGTCCTCATTCAATCAATAAACACTAACGAGCAGAATTTCCTGCACGGTCATGGCAACAATGTCTCCTGTGTGACGGTCTCCAAGAGCGGAGCTTACATCGCCTCAGGACAAATCACATTCATGGGCTTCAAGGTGAATACACTGAAAGTAACTCACTGAAAATTGATTTAGCGGTCCCTCCCTAGAAAAAAGTGCCCCACCTCAGGGAGCTCCGTGCTGACACAAGTTTTTACCCTTCCTCTTCTTCCTCTTGACTTCTCGTTCTATCCAGCTGAGAGTGAAGGAATCTGGTGTTTTTACACCAGATGTCGCAGCTGGTGACCGAGGATGCTCAGGAACAAAAGTCCCTGTTTAAAACCATTTCCATTGTGTTGCTGTCATGTTTGTAAGTCACGATCTAATTTCTAGAAAAGCGGCATTGCTGATTATGTTTCACTGTGAGGGGTAGCCCTCTCTGATCTGACAGTATATTCTTGCCCCCAGGCAGACATCATTTTGTGGGATTATAAGAAGAGGGAGCTGATTGCTCGGCTGTCACTTCACAAGGGCAAAATTGAAGCGCTGGCCTTTTCACCAAATGATTTGTACTTGGTATCACTAGGAGGCCCAGATGATGGAAGGTAATGAACTAAACATATCTACTTATTTTCCTGCAGGCTTATTTCTAGACGTGTGCAAGTACCATCTCCCCACTAACATTCTCTGTTGGCTCATCTATATTTGAGCGTGTGTTTGTGTGAAAAGCCTATGAGGAAACGACCATAGGACAGTGGTTCTCAACCCTGGCCATGCACTGAAATCCACTGGGGAGCTTTAGACAATTACTGATGCCTCGCTCCACCGTCAGAGAGTCTGATTTGATCGGCCTGGGCTCTAAGAGTAATGAAAGCTTCCTACGTGACTCTGAAGTGCGGCTAAATTAGAAAACCATTGCTGTTAAAAAAAAGGGGGGGGGGGATGTCAGCAGCAGCAGCAAAAACAACAGCTAATTTTTCTGAGCACTTACTATATGACAGGTATGTGTGGAGCACTTTAACTGCATTATCTCACTTAAGCCTCACAACTCCAGGAGGTGGGAGCTATTAGGGTCATATGACAGTCAAGGAACTAAAGTTATCAGCTGCTAAGTAGCAGAGCTGGGAGACAAGCCCAGGCAGTGTGACTCCATGGGTGCATTTTTCACTTGCCTCACCAAGACATGGTCTTTGTCCTCAAGGAACTCATGGTCAAGTTTAGTAGGCAGAGAATACCAATGAAATTGAAAAAAAAAAAAGTATTTACAATCATTAAATAAGGAAGGATAATCAATGAAGTCCATATTCCTAGGTAAATGCTACAGGAACATAGCCTGTAAAAGAAAAATACCGCCTGAGGTTTGTGTAGGATTCAATACTTGGGTGCATTTTCAGCACCCCCAAAAGAAACCCATGTCCATTAGCATTTACTCTGCATTCCAGCTCCATCACTGCCCTCCCAGCCCCAGGTAACCACCAAACAACTTTCTGTCTATATAGATTTGCCTGCTCTGGGCGTTTTGAATAAATGGAGTCATACAATATGTGGCCTTTTGCGGTTGATTTCTTTCATTAAGCATAATGTTTTCAAGGCTCTTCCCTATTGTGGCATGTATCAGTACTTCATTCTTTTTATATTGTCAAATAATATTCCATTGTATGTATATACCACATTTTCTCTATTTGTTTATCAGTTGATGGATTTTGGGGTCTTTTCCACTTTTAGGCTATTATTAATGCTGCTTTGCATATTCATGTATAAGATTTTGTATGGGTATATGTTTTCATTTCTTTTAGGTATGAGGTACTTGGTTTTAAGAGTCTTTTTTTTGGTTCATCTAGTTAACAGTATAACTTTTTAAGTGATATGTCCCAATTTTTCCACTTTAGATGGTAATTATCAATTTCCTACTAAGAGAAAAGACAAAATTATGGCTCTTACCCTACCTCGCACCTCCCCATTCCTGGAACTGTTGGTTATACCTTCATTTTAGACTACTTATTGACAATACATTCTATATGTAGAAAATTTGGGAAATGTAAGTCGGCATGTTTAAACATTAACAAAGTTTGTAATATTTGCATTCTTTTTCTTTAATATTTTGATTCAGAAGTTTAATCCTCTCCCCAGCATTTTCGATATTATCATCCAAACACTATTCAATTTAGGACCAAGTTGTATGATTGCACCCAGGAAGGAGGAAATGGAACCCAAAGCAGTGCCTCTCAAAGTGTAGTCCCCAGACCAGCAGCACCAGCAGCACCTGGGACTTTTTAGAAAAGCAAATTCTCAGGCCCCACCCCAGACCTGAATCAGAAGCCCTGTTTTAACAAGCCCTGCAAGTGGTTCTGATCCATGTTCAAGGCTGAGAACACTGCTTTATGTCATCCTTTTTATTGCCTTGTTTTTCTTTATTCTTTCTCT